ATATGATACGTACTTAATATATAGGAAATGTCTCATAATACACCAGCTCAGCTCCATGCACAGCTTTGCCCCAGCCTTACTTTGCAGGCAAGGCAAAGATTGCTGGGAACGGCCCGGTCTCTTCCCTGGCTCACGGGGCTCGGCGCTGGCCACGCTGCGGGACATGGGGCCGAGCTGCGGGCGGGCTGCCCGGGGAGGGGAGAGGAGGGACACGGCCTCCTGCAGGGCTCTCTCTGTGGGCACTGAATTATTTTTATCTCACTGCTGTGAGGCAACACTCGCCTCTAAAGAGCTGCTTTCCACAGGCTTCCCTGAAACCCACAGTCTACGCCTCACAGTCGCTTCTGGACATCCTAATGAATACATTCATAGCGGATGTGAAAGAATGTGCAAAAACAAAAGAAACAGGTCTCTGGAGCTGAAGGTGGAAATAGCACACATTGAAACCAAAAAAAGAAACCCATGGAAGAACATGTTCAGCCTTCTTGCCATGAAGTTCAGGAAATGATGGCATCAACCTACAGTTTTATAACACACACATACCTCAAGACAGAACATCTCTTAACTATACATTTCTAAATTGTATTTGCTTTATTGAAAGCAAAAGTAGATGGCCCAGTCACTCAGAGATACATAGGTGTTCAGCTCCTAGGAATTTGGCTTCCAAGGAGTGGGGACATAAATGTCTATACTTCTGAGGACCTGGGACCCGCCTTTATTTTCCCCTCCTGTCCCTAACAAATGAGAACAAAAGCGAAACAATACAAGAAAGAACAAGAGGAGAATTCCAAACAGATGACACTAAGAAGGTGAACAACCTATGGGAATTAATTTACAGAAAGGACTTTTCTCAGAAGAGCTGAGTGCGTGGAAAAAAAATAGTTTGCACCTGGCACAGCTAAGGATTTCTTCCCCACTAAGAAATAGAGCAAGGAGAATGGGAAAGATTTATGTAATTTTTGCACTCATAGTCAGCATTCTAGAAGAAAATCAGACAAAATATAGCAGTGGCTAAAGCAGGCAGAAAGATGTAGAGAAAGAAAAAAAAGCAACATTAATATTGGCAAAAGATGTGTGGCACAGCTGAGTAAAAGGACTGCTTAATCCGGCTTGGGAAACGAGAGATGCTGGGAAGAAACAATAGATTTGTGAGCAGCCTGGGCAGTGATGTGGGAAACCAGGGCTGATGCAGCAGAGGCTGCAGAGGCCCCAGGAAAATAAGTGAATTGGGATCACAACTGTAACGTATTTTTAAGAGCTTGCACTGTTCAGAAGAGATGAAAGTGAGGGATTAACTCAAGGATCCATTTCTTGCCTCGGGGCGGCAGATCTGAGGTTCAGCACACTTTCGAGTGTATGAGGCTTCTGAGCAGGGCTGCCTGCTTCACGTGGAGGCCCTGTTTTCCTTACTTAAGTAACCGTTTTTAACCAGTGTTCTGCTGAGGGGAGGAGAGGTGCCTGCCTTGTTGAGTGGAGACCTATCCAACCAAGTCTGCTCATTGGAGAGCTGTGGGACACTCACAGTGCTTCAAAACGGCTCAGCAAGGGAAGGGTGCTCGCAGCAGCCCTGCTGAAGCTGCAAAAGGGGCACACTGCATCGGTGGGTGCTCTCCGTACCCACCCTACCAACTCAACCCTTTTGACAGTATAGCTGTAGCACAGGCCCAGTTTGCAGGGTGCTACAGGTCCCTCAGGGCTCTACCAGGACAGTGTTCCCCATTGCATCTAGTAACAACTCCCTGCTGCTCCAGCTGCATCACAGCTGCTCTTTGGGAGCCACTTTCTTTCTGGCTCTCTGCCTGCCTCAGATTTCAGGACATTGCTCCTCACTTCCAAAACTCTGCTCCGCTAGAGCTGCTCCCAGCTCTGCTGCGGACACTCCAGCAGAGCCACTTGGCTGTCAGTATATCTTCACTCTGCAGCAGCAAGTGCCAGTGGAGGAGCTCCAGCTCAGGAGACATATTTTGCACAGCCCACAAAGACATCTCTTCTTGTATGCTCCTCTTCTCCTTAAAGTTGTCTTTGCCTGCTATTGCCTCTGACTTTCCTACAAACCCATGTGCCACCCTCGTCATCAGACCATCCTCCCCTCTTCTGAAATTCCCTTTGTCCCACCTCACTCAAGGCAGCTTTCCCCAGCTCAGTTCTACTGCTTGGTGCCCACCCAATAAAGGACATAAAGTGAAAATATTTCCCTTAACTTCAAAGGACCTTGGGTCGTGTCCACGATGACCTGCTTTATTTGACAGAGAAGGTCCTCAACAGCACCACTGACTAAAGTGAAAATCAGTGTACACCTGAAGGCCTTGGCCTGCTCTTCTCCAGCTTACTGCAGCCCTTCTCACCTTCTTCTTCATCGTGACTTGTGAGGGACTGATCCAGCCCATGCCAGGGAGACACAGGTATGTGTGTGCCTGTGAACACAAGTGTGTTGTGAAAAGCACAAGGTAGGCAGGATTTCAGACCCCCAGCAAAGTTGTGCCTGTGCCCTAACCATCTAATTTAGACAATTGCTTCTGGAAACTAGACTTTTTTTTAGTGGAAACAATGAGTGCCCATCACAGTGGTCACAAGTCTAGCCTATAAATCATCCTTGTAAAAGTTGTTTCTACTAAATCAGTGATGTACTATTGTCTCATGGTGAAATATTCAGAATCCTTGGCAGTTTAGAGGCTTGGACACCATCAATTTTGACTTTTGAAATCAAACTGCCACCTTGTGGTATGCTGGAGGATAAAAAAATAAAAAAAAATATGGATATTGGGAAAAATCAGTCACTTCGTCTCACCAATGATTTTCAGTACTTACATATTCTTAAATAAATTTCACAGCACTGTAAGCAAATTCATAAAACTTCTTATGTGCTTCCTTAAAAAAAGAATCAAGTTCTGCATGATTATTTGTCAATGTAAAACATGAGGCCATTTCCTTTTTCTTGTACATAATCCTACTGAAAGCAGCAATATATCCATATGCGTATCCAGAAAAGCACTAACTGCAAAGGAGGCAGGTAGCTATGCTTGTTTCCTTTCTCTTTTTAAGGCTCATTAGTGTTAAGAAGATTTCTGTGAGAATCACAGTAAGGCCACACTAATTACTGAGCAAGTTCTTGTGCATTGGCTGATCTGAGCTCTGTCTCTGTACATCCCTCTTGGATCTTGACAAATGTGAGGTGATTTTAATTAACTTTCTCTTTGACTGCCCAAGATGTTGCAAACTGCTTCACATCGGTTGTCAACCAACAGCAAATCTGATGGATCAGCAGAAAGGCAGTAATTTGCTACCATAATCTGTTTGCGTAGCTTCAGATGGCAGAGCAGCATGGAGATATACTGGCGTGAACTTTTCAAAACACAGCTAGATTAAATGACCTTGTATAAATCTAATGCTATTTATCAAAGATAGATGAAAAACTAGTCCATTTCATAGAGAAAAGCAGAGATGAGGTGATTGTAGCCACATAACAGTGCTTTGCGTATACCGAACTTTTCAGGTGCAGTGGTTAAAGAAAAGGTGCAAGTAACAAGAACTCCATAAAATCTGCAGTTCACATCTTACCCTACTCCTCATGGCAGATAAGCATTAACCTGTTTTTTTAAGCATGGAGTGGAGTCACAAAGCATAAAGTTACAGAGAAAGTGGGAGACAGTTATGTAGGAGGGAAAGTAAGGATAATAAGAGCTTGGCACTGAACCTCACAGTAAGGCTAGAAAGAGACAGACTTGATGTCTGGAGCATTGGGACTGGTCTTTTTCCTTCCCCAACTTTATTACAGATCTGGACCAAACACCTCAGGGAAACACTTTATTTCATGAAGTATTCTTTGTTCAGATGCAGTTAGAAATGAGGTGCTCAAAAAATTCACAATTCTCTGTGAATCTCTCTGTAACATTTCTCTGGCACACTTACCCTTGCGTGGATCTGGGGAGCACTGCCATGGATAGATGTCCTGCAAGGCTTTGTGGAGTTGTCAGAAGACAGGCCCAAGGAGCAGAGGGGCTGACATGACTTCTGATATCACCCAACTCACATCTCCTGATCAGCCCATTCAGCTGCTGAACTTTTAGGTCGAAGAATAAGCATGAAAACATCTTAATAGTTTGATATTGGCCCCTTTAAATCAAGAGTGAGAAGTCTCCTACCAGCTATGGTCTCATTAGGAGCCCAAGCATGTGTAGGTGTCATCAGTGCTTGTGTGTGGTGCACAGCAGCAGCTCACCGCAGGTTTGCGTCCTCACACACTGCTGCTGGCCCATGGACAGGAACAGGGCTGGCAGAGGAATGAAAAGGGAGGTAGGGACACCATTCAGTGGGTGATGGAGTCGTGAGGGAGAGTGAAGGGTCCTCAACTTAGATGAAGGATAATTCAGACAATGGGAAGGGAGAGAGAAGAAGAAAGGGAGACTCATGGCCTCCTGGCACATGTGAGGTCTAGGAAACCCTGCTGCTCGGTATGTTATAAGGAAGCTTGGGCAGGATAAGGAAATCCCTTGAGGCTTTGCATCTGTGAGCCCTGTGTGGCAGAGGTGCTGCCCTGAATGCCTCCCTGATGGCTGCAGCGGTGTAATCAGGACTGATGTACCGAACACTGTCCTGGGAAAGAGCGAGTGGTCTCCTGCAGGAAATGCCCTAGTTAAATGCACTAATCGAAATGCATCTGCAGAGAGACCATCATTTCTCACTGCGGTCAGTTAATCAGCAATGGTATCTATGTAAAGAAGCATGAGTATTTTTCCACCTGAGATTTCTCAGTCAGCCAGGACTAGTGTCTTTTAATATGAGTGTGTGGCTGGAGCAGAGGGTAACCATATGCTTAATGAAGCTTAAGGTATATGAAGCCCATGAAGATCATTCTTATTTTGATGTTATTGCTAGCATGTCTGCCCTCGCCTTCATAAAGAGTGTGGTGATATCCAAGAGTGACATTTCAATCCCTGAAATGATCCATATATAAATAGAACAAGCAGATCAGCATGACTTAGTGATAAAATTACCTTCTGGTCTCCAGGAACTTCAGCATGCAACTCTGCTCTAGGACCTCAGTGTACCCCTCTTCACTGCACAAATACATTTGGAAATGGAGCTGGAGGAGACGTACAAAGAAGGGGAGAACATGGAGGGGAGAATGACTCGAGCAGCAGCCGCCAAGTTGGTGAAAAAAGCTTTTCTTGAAGCCCTGAAGTCAAATGACTACGAAACACTGGAAGAGCTCTTGAGCCAGGAGAAAATAGACGTGGACACAGTGTTTGAAGTGGAAGACGAAAACTTGATTCTGGCCTCCTACAAGAAAGGTAAACACAACGGCAGGAAGTGGATGGGTTTGAGTAACTTAGGAGAAGCTGTGGGCAGTTGTCCGTGCAGACCCTACCATGCATGTCGATTGATGGGCTGCAAAACTGCTGTAGGTTTATGGACAGCCGAGAGCTGAGGAGGAGCCTGCGTGGGGCGGTGGTGGCCGGGGCTGCCTCCTGCACTGCACGGGCGCCACGGACGGGACGTAGCCAGCCGGATCTGTGGGCTCAGACAAGGGCAGGCCAGAGACCCACCAAGCCTCCTGGTGGGTCTGGTTCAGGGGAGGATAAGAAAGAGCAGTGCTTTGCATTTCCTCACATGAACTCAAGTGCAAAGCCCAGAATAGACCATGTAGCTAAACACGATATATACATTTCTGGCACATAACTAGTATGTCACATAAACAGACCGTTGAGAAATGTAAAGTGTTCAACGTCTTCCATTTTCAGTGTACAATAATACTACGGTGAGTTGTCCTTAGCTCAGTCCTCAGGAAGTCCTGTGGACCTTGAATGTTGCTGAATGGGAGACTCAGTTTTCAAAGCCAGGTGTGCTGTTGTATTTGTCAAATAATCAGAACAACCCACCTGTAAAAACATCATGGAGGGGCACAACCAGGAAAGACACCTCAGCTTTTGCAGAGTATAGAAAAACAAACCTCTTTCAGACAGATACTGGCTGAGTTTTTAAAAACTTACAAGTCAAAGTGATAAAATAAGTTTGGGCTCCATACAGGCAGCACACTTTATTTACTTGCCAGTAGATTCTTCATGTGAATCTAAAAAACCCTAACCAGTAAACCATAACCTTAAAAAACCCTAAACCAGGCCCTTGCCAGAAATTAAGAATTAATTATTTATGGAGATAAATACCCCCAGTCCCAGCAGCATAACAAATACACTTTTATTTCTGTGCCCTAAAGAAGGGGCAATTTTTCTCATCTGCTGTGTTTACTTCTCATTTAACAATCAGCTCTTTTCATTTCATAAGGGTGAAGATGTTGCAGTCCTGGCTTGTTTTCCTTGGAGAGCAGGTTTATTGCTCAGTGATAAAAATGTCTTAAAATACTCTTTCTTCTGCTAGCTAAAATGCATCTTAGGCCACAGGACTAACAAATGGGTTTCTAATTATAGATCATTTGGCTGCAAGCATTAACCTGTCTCTTTCGGAGACCACTCTCCTGAGGTAGATAGACCCAATGGCCCAGAAAGCAGCAGTGATTAACTTCATTGCTTTGCAAAGCAGAAGGCACTCTACCAACTCTTGCACAAATCTTACGGTTAGTCTTGAAGCCCAGAAAACCATGGCTGGATAGGGGGACTTGCTGGAGCAAGGAGAGGGGAGAAAAGTTAACCCCCAGTTATGCACTATCCAGACATCCTGAGTTTTAGCAGGCCCAAGGCACCACAGGGCTGTGCTGCCATCCAGAGGGACATGCACCTAGGGGGTAATAAGCCCAGGCACCAATTCGGACTGGGGGTGACCTACTGGAGAGCAGCTCTGTGGAGAACCCGGGCATCCAGGTGGAATACAGAATGACCATGAGGCAGCAATGTGCCCTTGTGCCCAAGAAGGCCAGAGGTCTCCTCTGGGGATCAGGAAGTGCACTGCCAGCCAGGTGATCCTCTCTCTCTACTCAGCCCTGGCGAGTTCATATCTGGAATGCTGGATTCAGCCCTGGGTTCTCCAGTACAAAAGGGACATGGAGGTACTGGAGAGAGTCCAGAGTAGAGCTACAAAGATGATTATGGGACCGGAGCATCTGTTTTATGAGGAAAGGCTGAGTGAGCTGGGTCTGTTTAGCCTAAAGAAGAGAAGGCTGAGAGGGGATCTCATCAGCATATACAAAAGCCTTAAGGAAGGGTGTCAAGAGGATGGGACCAGACTCTTTACAGTGATGGGACAAGAGGCAATGGCCACAAACTGAAGCACAGGAAGTTCCACCTGAATTTGAAGAAAAACCTCCTGACTGAGGGTGACAGAGCACTGAAACAGGCTGCCCAGAGAGCTTGTGTAGTCTCCTTCTCTGGAGATCTTCAAATTCACCTGGACGTGACCCTATGCAATGTAGTCTAGGTGATACTGCTTTTGCAGGGAGGTGGGACTAGATCATCTCCAGAAGTCCCTTCCAACTTTCATCATTCTGAGGCTGTGAAGTGGAAAGATGATGCCATGGATGGCAGAGCTGCTCTGCTGCCCCTCTCAGAGAAGGCTGCAGGCTCCTGAGGCCCCTGACCTTGCACGCACCATTGCTGTGTCCAGTTCAAGCAAGCACAAAGAGGCTTCCGCAAGCTCATGCTGTATCCAGCTCTGCGCCTTGGTGGCCAGTCTGCTGGGCTCAGGGATGCCTGGGGTTTGGGCAGAGAGCGGGGAGATGCTCCTGGCATCCGTGAGGGAGCTCGCCCATGGCAGCACAGGCAAATGAAGTCAACAGTGGTCTCTGAAAGGAAAACTGTGGCTATTTAGAGTGATACCTTGGCTTTCTAGGATTGCTTTCCTACTGTTTTTTACCACATTTAGTAAATGGCTCACATTTGTACATTTTCTAGCATTCAAGGTATCAGGTCCGGCTCCCTGTGAGATAAGTCAGCTCATTGCTGGCAAGAAGGAATGGGAATTTAGGCAGAGAGCCCGCTTAGGAGATTTGCTCTGCTATACACATAGGCCCCAAGATGCAGCCGGCCTCCCGTGCGTCCGGTTTGGGAGAACCAAATGAATCAGGTTTCTTACAGGATGCGCAAAGTTACCTCTGTAGTCAAGGACTCGAGAGAGGTTTTGAGCACCTCCGTTGGCCAGCCTGTCCCTGGCTTGAGTACACAGGTAGCCTCAGGACTACTCGCTCTTCCCATGGAGATAGTGGATTACTTTCAAAAAGGTTTTGGTAGTCCCCAAAATTTGGAACTAAAGTGGGGGAAAAGAATTGTAGACCAGTTTCTCACAGGTCTTGTAGATTATTTCCCACCTCTGACATCTCATATGTTGGCAGTAATAAATGCTTGTATTTGTCAGCAAAATGCCACTGAAGACCAGCCAGAGGAGCAGGTGCAGCTGCTGCCTTGACTGTCAATTTCATTACTCTATCCTTTACGTTGAAATCTAGTGTTTTGCAGAGGCTTACAAGAACCGCATTACTGATGTCTAGTTTAAGAGACATATGTGCAGTTTAACAAAGAGGGGAAGAGGAACTTTAATCCAAGTTTCTCCCTGTCACCAGCTTTTTATTTCAACCTACCTCTTTCCTTCCTCCCCATCTCTGTCTGACTCTATACTGTGAAAACGGCATCCATGTGACATTAAGAACGAAAAGCTATATATAACTGGCGATTCAGGATTTGAATTGATTTGACCTCATTGCACATATTCAGTATTTTTCTGTCTTTTACATGATAACAGTATTCAACCAGACAGTTGTCCAAAGGAAAATAAATAAATCAAGCCCAGAAAATGTTATACGTGCACATTCTAGCTAAGATGCAGCTACCATACCTAAAAAAAAAAGGAAAAAAAATCCTAGAATCATGCTGTCCTTCTAGTGATTATTACCTTGCTTTTCCTTTTTTAAAACAAATGATTATAGTAATCACTTATGAGACTGTCTCAGTGCAGTCATTAAGCATCCAGTCCTATCTTGGGAATAGGAAATTAAGTGCTATTTGGTCTTACACCTGTTTGTAAGCAAAAAAAAAAAAAAGGAGAGAGAGAGATTGAGAGATTTTGGGACTAAATTTCATGCTGAAATGTCACCACATGGATCTTCAAGGTTTGTGTCAGCCTGGAGACCCCAGCTCAATGCTGCTGAGGGCTGCTGTTGGCGGGAGGCCTGCTGCGAGGGGCTGCCTTTGTGCAATGCAGCACTGCAAGCTCCAACCCCACTCCTGACACGCAGGAAAGAGCCTGAGCTCTCCCATGCACGAGCAGCACCATGTCTGGCTGTTGAGTCACTGGCAGCAGTAAATGCTGCCTCCTTATTCTCATGTCACATTTGTTCAGCTGTTGGCAGGCTAGAGATCCCATTTCCCCCGTATTTTTTAGTTGGCGGCATTTCAAGTGCTCTGAGATTTTCTTTTAATTCAGTCTACAGAATTCACAAGAAAAAAAAAAAGGAAACTGCCTTCAGAGTACAGCTACATGGGAATTAGCTACCCAAAAGCACACACAATAAATGTGCTTAATGAAAATGAGTTATGCTTGAAAGAACTTTGTGTATATCGACCTCTAGCTACTGAAATTACAGTAAAGTAAAGCAGAAGTCCAACCCTTGCTTCTCTCTCAGTAGGTGGGTGATCCAAAGCAAAATCTTAGCCAAGAATGGTAATACAGTTTTACTTTGTGCAGGGTACTGGCTGCCCAGCTACAAATTAAAAATATCCTGGGCAACTGGACTTCATCTTGCTGTCATGTATGGGCATCTGGAGTGTCTTTTGGTCCTGCTAAACCACAAAGCTACCATCAACTGCCGGCCCAACGGCAAAGCCGCCATCCACGTGGCGTGCGAACTGGCCAATGTCGAGTGTCTCAAGATCCTCTGCAGCCACGGGGCTAAGCTGAACTGCTTCTCAATGAGTGGGCAGGCACCCCTGCACTTCTGCACGTCGCGCACCGCCATGCCGTGCGCCCAGCAGCTGGTTTGGAGAGGTAAGGTAGAGCAGAAGGTCACCATGAGCTCTGGAGAAGGTCCCTCTGGAGAGGCTCTTGTGGTCTTCCCAGTGCTGGGGTATCTGTGGCTTCTCTTAAGATGCAAGACATCAAATTAGGGGTATATTTATCCTCCCATCCACAGCAAACTCACATCTTCTTTCTCCCACCTCCTTGAGCAGATGAGGTTTCTCCCACCCAATTCCTTACCCTTGTGTTTCTCGCTGCTGCCACTGCCCAGACTCAAGGCCCCTGTCACTGCCCCTAGCCCAGTGCCCATCCCTGCTGCTCGCACCTGCCTGTCTCACTCCTCCTGTCTGCTCCCACCATCTCCACGGGAAGTCTCCCTGCAGTCACAGAGTCTTTTTTTTTCTCTCTTCCTCATCTAGGTTTACTATTAAAACATTTTCACATGAAAGTGCTCCCCTCCACTCTTCTTTTGTGTTCAGACTTCCTTGATCTTGGCAAAATTCTTCCTTTTTTTTTAAAAAAATGACTTTTAGCCTTGAAAAACTGGAGGCAGTTTTTCATGCTCTCTGTTAATTTGTTGGCAACCAAACTCCTGCACCTGTGCTGGGAGGAAAAAGGTATTATGAAGGATTATACTTTCCCAAAGTAAGATTGATTTTGTCACTGGCCATCTGTAACAATAAACCTATGAACAGACATAATTCCCCGGATAATTATATTGGTGTCACACACTGGTTCCTTAACACAAGGAAGGTGACTCAGGCCACAGTAAAAGACAGTCATAAAGTACACAACAGAGTGAGACCTTCAAGAGTTATACTTACAACTAGACAGATTCCCCTAATTATCACACTGTGCCATGGCAAGTACAAATGCTTTTGTGTTTTTTGCTACACATGTTATTATTGCAGGCTTTTCTTCAACATAGAGCCCAAGTAGGCTTTGTGGGCAAGCCAATCTGCCAGCCCAAATGAATAACCACGTCGCCTTTCTTCTGCTGGAAAGATGCATATTACTTTGTTTAGTAGAAAGGAAAATAAATGCTGCCAGTTGTGTCCTGCCCAAAGCAAACAGTGTTGACAGCAGGAGTTAAATTTGCCACCACGGAAAAGCTTAGGAAACCCAATGTACTCTCAGAAAATATAGCATGGGATGAATGCAAACAAAAGGTCATATTCAGAAGGTTTTCTCCTCCCCACCCTCAGTAACAGAATATTACTGCTTCACAAGCTGCCCTTCATGCCAGGGCACTCTGTGAATTTAAACCCCTATGTGAGATAAATGTAGCAGCTCCGATAAATATGGGCCAGGTTCTGGAGCAAAATTGGGCTGGTGTTTACATACCTGTCCCCACTAATCAGTAGTCAAAAACCATGTTTCATTCAATGTCATTACACCATGTTTTACCCAGGCATATTTCCCCTGTCTATCCCTGCTCAGTGGTGTCTCACTGGGTCAGTTCAGGTGAATGCAGCTTAATCATCTCTGGGCAGCTCAACAAATGGGCAAAACCGATCCCATTTTTTGTTTGCTCCTTTCAAACATAGGTTACTGACACTCTCCTGGAAGTCATCGTGACTGCACATGCCTTGCACACACTGCGGCTAGCACTTGGGTTTTCCAGTCCAAAGGCAATTTTTGACTCCTCTTTCCTCTCCACAGTTCTTAGACCTCAGTCTTGGTGTAACACAAGCCATGCAGGGCCTTTCATGAGACTGGAGAGATGTGGGATGGCCATGCAGCTTGTGCTTGCTCTTGCCCGAGTGCTTCATTGCCAGATTGCCAGGGTCCCTGCCTCAAGGAAAGAAATGGAGTCACCCAACTACTGTGGTCACCCAACTTCAACACCTTCCGTCTCTGGAGGAAGCCCCTTGCCCAAACTGCTGGGCCCTGCATGTTTTTATATTGCCTGGGATCACTTCCCTCTGGGGAATGGGACCTTATCAACCTGTTATTCTTTTTTTAAAAAACAGTCTTCAGGATTATTCCTGTGGTAATTCGTATTCTTTAGGCCAAATTGCCAGTAGCTGCAAAGCAGCAGGGCCGTTAGACGGCCACGCTGCAGCAAGCAGGAACGAGGGACACCTGTCACTGCTCTGGCAGAAGCCATGCAAAGAGCACGGCAGAATTTATGCTCCTTTGCCCCTTCCATCTGTGCAGCAACTCTGCTTTACTGCCCAGAAGATGGTGCTGTTGCTTCAGCTGGAATAGAAACTCTGCACAAATTCAGTGATTTTACCAAATCTGCTTAACAGCTTGAAAACAGGATCCAGGCCCCCAGCTATGCTTTTTTATTTTTTATCCTATTTTTAATATTACCTATGGATCTAGCAGAAAATGTCCTTTCTTCCCAACTCACAGCTGAAGGCAAATCCAAGAATCTCAAAAGTTTCTGGGGGGTTTTGTTTGAGGCCTGCAAAACGTAGTATGTGCCTCTAACTATTTGCATTTCAACGAGCATCTTTCAAGCTCACTGCCCATCCTCACCCTGTCCTTGAATAGACAGCAGGGCTCAAGCAGAGAGATGTCTGAGCCAGGATTTTGTTGTGTTTATTTCTTTCCCATCATTCTTCTTACACAGGAGCAAACGTGAACATCAAAACGAACAACCAAGAGGAGGAGACCCCCTTGCACACAGCTGCGCGCTTGGGTATCCCTGAGCTCGTGGCCTTTTACGTGGAGCAAGGGGCGCACATCGACGCTGTCAATGCCCACATGGAGACGCCCCTGGCCTGCGCCGTCTACTGGGCCCTTCACTATAAGGATCAGATATACAGCCAGGACCACCACCTCATTTGTCGGATGCTCTTGGACTATAAAGCTGAAGTGAATGCTCGTGATGAGGATTTCAAATCACCGCTCCACAAAGCTGCCTGGAACTGTGACCACGTGCTGCTACACATGCTGCTGGAGGCAGGGGCAGAGGCCAACATCATGGATGTCAACGGCTGTGCGCCCTTGCAGTATGTCTTAAAAGTGACACCCGTGCGGCCAGCCGCGCAGCCTGAGAGCGGCTACCAGTTGCTGCCGAACCATGGAGCCGCTAGGATATATCCTCTGCAGTTTCACAAGGTTAAGGACTGCTCTGTGTGGAGAAGAGGTAGTGGAGAGAGGTGGTGCCTTGCACATGAGTACGATGGGAGATCCAAACTGCAGGGTCTCATGGTATCTAGATTTGCTGGAGTCTTGCTAACTGGGGGCCCAGAATGCCCAAAATCTTGCAACATGAGCTGTTGTACAACTGACATCATTTCACAGAAGCATAATTACATTTGCTAATTCCAGAACCCAGACACAGGCTCCATTTGCATTCTGTACCAACTAGAAACCCAAACTTTAAGTGCTGGTTCAAGTTAGCATTTCAGAGCTGATTCATTTTCCCCACTCCAGAAAACCTATAGAGCTTTGTCGAACCTCACATCAGCTTCACTGGGTGGAATCATATTTCATGACCTGTACCAAATACTGAAGGTCAGACTAGACAGTTCGGTTTGTCACTTTTAAGCTTTAAAAATAAATAAATAATTCAAGATGAAATGGCTTTCCATAATGCTTTTCTTGCTCCCAAGAAAAAATGTGAGCACTTAAGGGGAAAGGATGGACCTGGGCTCAAAGTTGATAGGAAAAAAAAAAAAAAAGAGAAAACCAATTGCAGGATCTCTCTCAAGGAATTTCTCGAGTTCTGCAAAGTCCAAAGCATAGACAGAATAGCTCAGAGACTTTTATGAGGCAGCCAAGTAAGCTGCTTGTAATCAGGGCTCATTTTTTCTGATCCTCTGCCCTGAACAGCATATTGCAGCTTCTCTTCTATAGTTCTAAAATTTCAACAGGCCAAGCAACCAGAAATCTTTAAATAAAATGCCACATCTTCTGTGGGACCTGGGCTGGCCGTGTCTATAACAAGTGAGGAGCACAGTCTGGGCCAAGCTATTTTTAACTCATAAATTATAACACTCGTTTCTGTGTTTGAGAGTCCGATCAGGGGCCTCTGCCTACGACGTGCTGTATGGCCTGGGCGTCACTTCCAAACAATCTTTTGCCATTTGTAAAATACATAGGATGAAGTTTATCCTTAGAGAGATGTTCTGCATCCTGTACAAAAGTGAGCCCAGGACAGTGCAAATGCAAGTGTTATTCTATCCATACGGGCCACAGCAGCTTGGGGCCCTTCCCTGCTCCAGGGCAGAGCGTGGGCCCCGGTGCCTCACATGACTGAAAGCCTTGCATCCAAATCCTGTTACCTCCAAGTCTTTTCCAGTCGCCAGGTAGCTTGGATTCAGAAGATTTGTTCTCCCTGTAATGCATAGGTGAAACTCCTGTTATTTGTAGTAGCCATGCTGTTGTAGCTGTGATGGCCTCAGCATGGAAGCAAGGTAGGGAGGGATAATTTAATGTACTGATAGACGAACTTTCAAGCTTGAGGCTCTTTGCCCCTGTGAAAGCTCTGCCCATGTGGAAGGAAGGTGTTTGTGCAGCGGGGACAGACACCCGGGGCTGCATGATGGAAATATTCCTGGTCTATGTCTTGCCCGCAGGTGTTACAGGCCTGTCATTCCCATCCGAGAGCCGTGGAGGTGGTCATCAACTCTTACGAGCACATCAAATGGACCTCCAAGTGGAAGGCAGCCATACCTGATGACGTCTTCGACGTAAACCCCTAATGCCTTGCAACTGCCTTGATTATAATTATCATGCTTTTCTATCTAGCTAGCTATCTCTATCTATTAACTATCTAAGAGATAATTATTTTCACTTTCAAACAAAAATTTTAATCTAAAATATTGAAACATTCTGTTTTGGAAGAGCCTAGTGTTATTCTATTTTTGTTGCCATTGCTGTTTTTTGTTGTCTAAGTAAGTCACTTGCCAAATTTGACAAGAAACCAGAGACAACGCCTTGTTGACACAAATCTGTACTCATTAGTAAACAAAATGCTCATCTGAAAAAAACATTAACCAGGTCTGTCAAATGCAAACAACATCAAATAAGGTCAAGTCACTGGAGAAATGTTAATTATTCTCATTTATATATCATTTACTGCTTTTATTTCAACCTTATTAATTTGATACCTGTATTTCTCTTTTGCAGAGACATAATTCTATTTATTCCTCAAGGATAGAAAGGCAATGACCAAGAACAGAGCTGCTCTGTTTTCCTTAGCTTCATGTAACTCATCAGCAACCCTGTGCCTTTATTGCCTAACTGCCCTGCAATGAAGTTTAGACCATTAACTAGTTAATGTGCACTGAGCTGGCTGAAGCTCTTCACCAATTAGCATGATTAACAGCAGTTAGCAGAGGAACTCCCACCTCAGACTGACTAAACCTAAAGATGTCCTCAGGCATTATTTAACTTAAGTAATGCTCAATATATGAGACAAGTGTAAGAATTTCAGGCAACATTGGCTAAATCAAGTAATCCCTGGCTGCTGGATGAAGCTGCAAGGCATGGGATAGTCATGTGTGTGTTTTTACCTGCTTCTGCCACGGTGTATGTGGTGGGAGGCAGAGATGGATAGAAGCGGCCTTATTGCTCTAAACCACTGTTGTTTCTTGCAGCGCTACCGGGATTTCTACGACTCCCTGTTTGCCGTGTGCAGCAATTCCCCACGGTCGCTCATGCACTTGTGCAGATGCGCTATCCGGGAGGCGCTGCTGGAAAGGTGCCACCGGGCCGTCCCCTTGCTCGCCATCCCGCTCGCCATGAAGAAGTACCTGCTGCTGGAGCCAGAGGGGATCGTCTACTGATGCCGCTCAGTGTATCCAACTGTCTCCATCCTGGCTTTGTGCCCCGTTCAGGGCCACCCCCATGCTCATGCCTGCAGGACACCTGGCACTACTGTGGCACAGACCTTTGCTTGCATGCACTCTCAGGTCAGCGAGAAACTGAGTTGGGTTTGCCTGCTGCTCTGGGAGTTGTCGTTTTTTTGGGTTCACTGTGCCTGGGATGGGATCTGCAGTCTCCCAGTGCAGCTCAAGAAGGCACAAAGTCAGGACTCTAAATTTTCACACTTTCTTCAGTCTAGTTTAAAAATCCTCATCAATTATGCTTCTGTTTCTTTAGGTAACTATTCCACTACACATTAGATATCATTAGAGTCAATGCAAACACCTTTTGATACTGTTATTTTCTTCAGCTGTCATTTCAGGAGTAAAAGCAAGGCTGCTGTCAAAAAACAGTATGCTCATTAGACCCAGAGAAATGCTTTCCCACAAAGAAATTGGTGAACTGCTTTGAACCCTGAGCACGGACAAGATTTCAGTCATTTCCCTGTTTTCCTATGGATTGACCCTGAAGGCAACGTTACTTCATTATTCAGTATGCCTATCTGTATCATATAAAGCTTTGTCATAAGAATATCTCTTTTAATTGCAAGATTTTTTTTCCATTATTACTGATGGTATGTGTACAGGATTGAAACCCGCAGTGCTGACATTTCTGTGCATTGCTGTTCATGCTTGTGGTCTTTCCTAACACAGGTGGGTGGGCTGTGCCATGGGGCAGCAGATGCAGTCTCTGCATCAGCTCTCACCCCCTGGTGCCCAGAAACACGTGCAGGGCAGGCTTATCTGCACAGTATGCACAGCTCTGCATATACCCATCTCTATATATTCCTCCAGGTGGTGTTCAGTGGGATTTGTGAAGAATATGAACAGTTTTCTCCTTTGACTTTCATAGGAACCTAGCCCACTAGCAGGGACGATATACCCCCTTTTTTGACAGCTAAGCTTGGGTGTGATGACTCCCATGGAAAGTGTTTGCAAGATGAGGTGCAGCCTGCACTGTTACTGATCTGCCAGTTCAGCTTTGCAGGTCTTGCCAGTGTTGTTTTCCCTTCTGGAAATACCTTTTCCTGGCTGAACTGGTTGTCTCCTTCCTCTTCACTTTCTTCATCTGATGTCATCCACCTGGGCTGGTCCAGAATCCCTGGACTCTGCTTAGGGCTTTGTTAAAAGAGCAGCGAGAGGAGCCCAGAGCTGGAGATCAGGACCTCCTGACCGGGTTGCATCTCTGACCGTGGGGCTGTTCACCCCTGTCATTATTCATTGTTCAAGTACCTGAGGGGTGACTATGGGGAAGATGGGGCTAGGCTCCTCTCCGCAGTGACCAGTGACAGGACGAGGAGTAACAGGGTGTAAGTTGAAACACAGGAAGTTCCACCTCCATAGGAGGAAGAACTTCTTCACTGTGAGGGTGACAGAGCCCTGGAACAGGCTGCCCAGAGAGGTTGTGGAGTCTTTTCTCTGGAGATCTTCCAAACCTGCCTGGATGCCACCCTGTGCCCTGTGCTCTAGGTGTCCCTGCTGGGGCAGGGGGGTTGGACTAGATGATCTCTAGAGGTCCCTTCCAACCTCAACCATTCTGTGATTCTGTGATTGTTACTATGTCTTTGGGAGACAGCATGCAGCATGCTAGGCTCTCCTGCCTGCACAAGAGACACCAAGCTGCTCAGTGTCTCAGTGTCTTCAATTGCCAAGTGCCACTAACAGCACTTGAAGGAATGTATAGAGTATTTAGTATTATAGATCACTTTGCTGACAGAAAGCACAGTGATAAGATCCATTATAATTAATAACAGGCCTAACAAGTGTTATATCAATATCCAAAGCTGTCCTACCATCAGACCCATCCTCTTGATTCTCAAGATAAAACTTACTTTTAATGTAGCCCTTTTTTTTTTTTTGGTAAGCTTTCATATGAACTGTGTTCCTTTCACCTCAGTTTTCATGGATCAAAGCTTGTATACTGTGGTAGGATCCTAGTTCATAGGTTTGTTCAGCTTTAGCTGGACAGCAGTGTTGATTGTTATTCAACAGTTTCCAGTTCTAAAACACATTCTCAAAGACAACTTAGACCATGACAAATTGTTTTCCTGTAGGCATAAAAGCGAACCCATTGCAGTACAGGGTCCCCTCCTTGACTGAACTTACCCAACAGTCTCGAAAAGTTGCAAAGATTAAAGCCTTTAATATCTATCTGAGATGCTGCAGCAGTTGATGCAATTGTAAGAGACAATTTGTAGGATAAACTAGTACACAGAAAATCATCTTTTTGAGGCAGCACCAGGTTAACGTGAGCCAGTGAATTCTACAGCGAGGACAGTCTGTGTGTTTGGAAGAAGAAGGGAGAAGCTTAGGTTATTTAAAACCAAAGCTTTTCTAGGCAATGTATCTTTGTAAATTAGGGATGAGGGAGAGGATTTGCAAACTGGACAAGGCAAGAAAATATTGATTGTTTTCTGATCAGTCTGACAACATGGTAATCCAAAAGGGACAGATGGAAGTAGCTGATTTTATTTGGAACACAGCCCTGTGCTTGCTGGGTCTGCAAGAGAAATTCTGCATCTGCAAGAGGGAGGTTTAAGACAGAACAATAGCAGGGATTTTTGTGACCTGTCACAGACAGGACTGTCTTGCTGAGAGAGAAGAAAAAAGGCTGTCACCAGCGTTCCTAAATTCTCTCGGATCCTCCCCCTTTGCAGCGCACACACTTAATTTTTATTCTGTGGGCACCCAGCCTCACTCGCAAGCTTTGTACCAAGCAGGTGCCAGATTATAGCCATTGTGGAATCTGACATGGAGCACAGTGGGATCAAGCTGATTATAGTCATAGGAATTTGCAAGCTGTTAAAAACACTGGAGAACATCCCTAATACAGAAAAGAGAAAGACCTGATTGATGCAAATTAATTGCTTCTGTTGTTGGAGTTAGAAAGACCAACAGTAAGCGAACCTTATTATTTGTTACCTTTTAACATTACTTTTTTTGCTTATAGTCTATTCTCTTCCCACACACGCTGGATGGAGTTGCCCATGTGAGTCCTGGGGCTACTTGATAATAAGATCATCATTTATTTAATTTACAGGATGCAGAAGCTTATTATTCTGACAGATTCCTAGAAATTTCACACTATCATGTAACTCTTGATCATGCTTCTGTGTTTCCAAAGCTGCTGTAGATTGGATGGCTGCGGGTGGAAATAAGAAGAGACTGAGTCCTCGCCTCCGGGCTGCAAGTCTGACCCTGGTCATGTCTGTAATGACTAGAAAATTGTTTTCAGTGTTGCATGGTGTCTCCTGTGAAATGAGTTGCCTTTTGCCATTTGGCTTCTCAGCAGAGATGTAGCCATACTTGAGAAATCTCCTCTGCAGTTTATGGCCTATTTAAATATTGAAAGCATAGACAGGCACAAAGAATGAACTACCCTTTTCTGGATGGCAAATCCTTCTCTACTGGCAACTGATACCTCAGCTTTCTTTATGTGGAAATGTCTTGGCATCAGTGAAAATTTATTTATTCCAAACCACTGGTGCCATCCTGAAGCCTGTTTTCTTCTTCCCAAAGGACAGTCTGCTACAGCCTTTACATCAGCTTCGGCACTGTCCAGTTAACTAACGTGACCATGAATTAATGTAAGTCTCTCAGAGCAAGATAGACACTGCTGAAATGCTGGTAGAATAAAAAATGATCAGAACACAGATATTTGGAGATTAGGGATTATTAAGGTCAGGCCTGCTGTGAAAGGCAGCACCTTTACTTTTAGTTGTACAGCACTGCTGGACCAGTTCCAGAGACTCAGCTCAGCTCAGTCATATTTTAAGTCCTTACAAGGTGTACTAAGCCTTTTGGCAAGAAATTTTGCTTTTGGGACAAATGTCTGTAAATCAAACATATAAGAGTACTTAAGACTGGAAGCAAGATTGAAACAGTCCAGGGTGGCCAATGTTATTACACACCTTTATTAAACTCTGAGCTTTTCAATGTGCTTGTAGGTTTGCAGGGCTCTCGATGGGGTACTGCTGCTTTTCTGAAATGCTGCAAGATATAGATGGGCAATATTTCCATTCACTTTCAGGATATGGAAGAGGAATTTCCCTGTGCTCCCCAGGGTTTGCTCTTTGGTTAAATGACAGTGCAGAGCATGCTATTAGTGGAGATACGAAAGCCTAGCGAGCGTCTGACACCTTAACCTCCCTAAGAATTATATTAAGGTGCTGGAAAGATCTACCACAGCTTCTATTTGTGGAGCAGCAGGGACTTGTGGCACAGCAGACGCGTGGGTCATAAAAGATTGCTATGTGCAGCGACTGTCAGGTGGAAATTGGTTGGCTACTTGTTTCCGACTATTTCTCCAAATGCAGCTCAGGCTTTGTAACACACAAAGCAGCAAGGTGACAAGGTGTATTACATATGACAACGACCTCTTTGATTTTAATACATGGTTCACATTTTCTTGGCTCTTAGCAGCTGTGCTGTTGGCCTTTATCATGCCTGGGCACCCTATGGAGTGCTGCTAAATTACAATTAAGACATCTGAGACAGGGACAGCAGGGCACGTGGTGTTTTGTGTGTAACTGATGAGCTGTTCTGCTCCATTATTTCATGCTAGAGCTGGCTCGGGATGCTGATATTAGCCCTTTTTTTCCACTGCATTTTAGCCTCAGTGCAACCGTACCAGCTGCAGAGACTATAAGTACAATTAGGAGCTGGTTAGGTTATTTCAATAGTAACTGTACTGGGCAGCAGTTAATCCAGATAATTTTGATTCAGAAAAGAGACCTTTACCTATTCCTCATAACCCAACAAAAGCCACCACTTAGCTTTCCCAACACTAAATGTAAGGGCATGACTCTTGTGAGGAAAAGCGAGCCGGAGCCGGAGAGCTGCAGAAAGCTGAGCGTGCCGCAGTGCTTTCCACAGAGGAGAAGAGGCTCGCGTGACCCCTCAACGTGCGGGCAGGGCGCATG